TAAACGTCAAGCAGACAGCTGATTATCAGAAGTGTGAGATGCTCGAGAATTTACTCCGGTGTCCTGTTGTATTTTAGATGGCAAGTTTATTAAACTTCACTGAAACAATCTCCAAATTTCATTAAACTTTAATAAACTATCATCTTGTCTTTATTTTTAGTTAGCACATACCTTAAACACTTAAAGCTGTAAGCTAGTGATAGTTATATAAGAGCAGATGCTGCTGGTGCAATAAGCTGTACATTGTACGTCCAATGGATGATGATCTGATTAGTCGACTAATCGCAAAAATAATCGGTGACTAGTCGACTATCAAAATAATCATTTGTGGCAGCCCTAATTACCAATAAGTTTGATGTGTCACATGGCCCTCTTCCTATTAAAAAAACAAGTTGTATCCAAGATGGACAACTTCTAAATGGCCACCATGGTCACCACCAATCTTGAGGAGTTTGCCCCTCACATATACTAATGTGCCACAAACACGACTTTAATATCACCAACCATTCCCATGTTATTACGGTGTATCCATATAAATGGCCCACCCTGTACATTTCCCATGAGACTTAGCGGGATCTCTTCTTCAGGCGTTTGTTGAAGTTTGCATCAAGTGTAACAACAAGTACGAGGCCAAGAAGTACGTTTCCAAGGTGACGCCTGAGCAGAAGGTGAAGGCCCACCTGGCCGTCGGGTAAGACACCTCTGTGACATCATCACACAGCACAGGTGGGAGCACTCATGTAACTCCTCCTCTATTCCCGACAGTGACCTGGAGGGGGCTGCGGATGCTGCCATTGAGCGCAGGAATGAAGCTGAGATTGGGGCAGTCCTCTCCAGATGCTCCGCTTCCAACAGCCTGGTGATCGAGCGGCTGAACCAAGCTCGGGCCGCCATTGCCAAAAAGTGAGCTTCCACTCTTGAGCATGACGTTGGTGGGAGCCAGCTGCTGTTACTGATCAGAGACTGTGATTGATTACTGATCAACTGATGCTTTCTTCTTCCCTTCAATTAAAAGCTTTGACTCTATTCACACTCGAGCGCCACACCTGGACAGCAGCACTTCCTGCTGCTGTCCCTTCACAATAAAAGCTTCAGTGTGTAGCATGGCCGGTGTTATATTGTGAAAGAGGACAGTAAGTGTCCAAGCTGACCGCATGTGTCACTTTGTATGATTTTAAATGTTGTTAGTCGATCAATAAACATGAAAAACACAGGGTGCAGTTCTCAGTCTGACCACCGGGAGGTGACAGAAATATAAAAAGCCTCTTTGTTCTGTAAATAAAATCCTTTTCTATTAGTGCCCACTTGGATCAACTCTCCATGGTTTTCAGGATTTTCCATTAGATCATAGTACTTGGTAGCCGTGTTGTACCAAGTGTTCCTGAGTCTGAAGAAAAGCCACAGACCGAGCTGCTATGTTGTCTCCTCCACGTCCACTTTTGTGGTAGTGTTCGTTTCGCATGCTACATACATTATGAGATACTGGACTGTAATGAAAACCAGTCGACCCGAGTATATATCAATGGGAAAAGGGACTTAAAAACAAGTTTTGTAAACGAGTTGATTCTGTTCGTCTGGACGCAGCCTTTTCAGAAATGTCTGCCAACCTCACAGCACCTTGGTCATTCAGTGGGCTCTGTCGTGTTGGCGCCGTGCAGCCCCATGCATGGGGTGATCCGCGTTAACTTGCTAATGGAGATTTGCCGCTTTAATGCGGTTACGGCGTTAACGTCATATTAACGAAGACAGCACGTGTGTGTGTGTGTGTGTGTGTGTGTATATGTACAGTATTAGATTTCATTTTTCTAAAATGGCCTGTATTTATATAGTGCTTTTCTAGTCCCTAAGGACCCCAAAGCGC